CAGTTATAAAGTAAAATTTTCTATTTGCAATTTTTTTTAAATTTATTACCTAATAGCACTGTTGGCAAAGTAACTTTACCAAGAGCAATAACTTGCTCAGCAATTTTTTTCAAAATTAATAGCAAAATAACAATTTTTTCTTAAAGCTGTTAGTTAAAGATAGAACGCCTTAGAAATTCCTTAGGAAAAGCAACTTTTAGCTTTAGCTAAATAACTTTAGTTTACAATTAGCAATCAATTGAAAAATTAAAAAGTATAAATTGTTCAAACAATGGTTAAATAATAAGTTTCAAGTTTTATGTAAATTAAAAAATTTACAAAATAAATTGTTTAAACAGTGTTTAAATAATTAATTTTTATTTTTTCCTTTACTCTTGAATGTTTCAGTTACAAAAAATGGACAATTGAGAAAAAACTAGAAATTTCTGGCCCTAAATACAGTTTATGAAAAAAATAACAACAATTAATTATTTAAACAATTTAATAAATTGTTATACTTTTTTTCATACATCAGAAACACTCAAACATTATTTTAATAGGGGCGGGTTCCATTTCAAATCAGGCAGATTCTCCACTTAACATCACGGAATGCTATGGAAATGAAATATGTTGTTTTTCACAAGAAATTAAGGGCATGTTATTCAGTGGTCACGTGCCCCATATACTTTACTATGAGTCACGTGACCCCTGAATAACATAACCTTAAGAGATACGTGTTTTCCCGATTTGGAAAAAAAAAATTTCCCTTGAAGTTATCAGTGTTTGAAAGTTATATACTTTTTTTCAAAAATACTCAATATTTTTCTTCAAATCTATATAACTTTTGGCGTAATTAGTCTATTAAGGTTTTCTTTGGGAATTCTAATGTGTATTTTTGAACTCTTTAATAATCCACAAGAATTTTTCAAAAATATTTATTATTAACAAAATGGCGACGATTTTTTAAAAAAACTATAAAGTCGATTTTCTCAAAAACTCCACCTTTATATTTTTTGCTGATTTTTTATTACTATCGTCTTGCTATTAGCAATATAATATGTAAAAATCAGATTCGCTAAACAATTTTTACAGTAGATAAAAATTAAAAAAAAAAAAAAAAATTTTTTTGTATAAAAATCTATGTAAATTAAAAAAAATACAACGAAATTAATTTTAAATCACTATTAAATGTTTCACTTACATTTTAAAAAACAGTATTAAATAATTTCAATTGTTTGCATTCGAATTTACAATAAACAATTCGTATTTAGCGGTCCTGGTCAAAATGGCAGCTTCAAAATAGCAACTAAAAAAATTTTAAAGTTAAGGAATTCGTTAACTTATGGATATTTCTAGGCGCCATTTTGAAGCCGACATTTTGAATTTTGAAGTTTTGATCACAGATTTTGATTCAGTGACCCTAAAAACATACAATATAACAATGTTATGTTTTTAAAAAAAAAATTTTGAACATTTATGGTATACATAAACTTTATTTTTAATTGACTGTGAAGGGGTTAAAAATTATTTCCACTCGGCTATCACTACAGTAAGAAAACGATTTATTCGATTCAAACAAATTTTATTTAAATCAAACTTAAAATATCTTAGCTGTACATAGTCAAACAAATTTAAGTTTAATTCAAACATATTTTTTGGTTCATTTATGGAAATAATATACTTAATTCAAACATAATTTATGGTTGATTTTAAACTATTTATAACCAACTTTTAAGTTTGAATCAAACACATATTTTTTGTTTAAACCAAAACAGAAAATATGTTGGAATTAAACATAATTATTCAAACAAATAGTATTTTTGAATCAAAGCAGTAGATATTTTCTTTATATTAGGATAAAGCTTATAAACTAATTTCAATTAAACAAAATCACTTAAAATTATTTTCTTACTTGAATTGAATATAATGTTTTCTCATTGTAAAGCTTCCGTTTAAACGCAATTTAAGTTTATTAATTCGAGGACTCATTTAACAAAATTTTTCTTCAGAGGACTGATTAGCCCTAGGAACATTATTGATCCATAAATAAATAAATACATAAATAAATAAAATATTTCAATTTTGATCGCTATTAGGTGCCTGCGATGGAATTGGCGGAATCGTAAAACACTTTGCTACTGATTACAATTTAAAGCATTCACATTTGGAAGCAATAACTGACGCCGAATCATTTGTGGACAAATTACAGAAATGTGTTCCTAAGATAAAACTAATTCTACTGCGATCAAAAGACATAAATAATTTTCGAAAATTAAAATCTAGACAGTGGAGTAGTGTTGAGTCTATTCCTGGAATTCAAGGTTGTCACATAACATTAAAACTTATGTACTTCTTCTCCAACAACTCAGAACCAATTTTAGAATTTCGCCATCACTCTTTTTTTTAAATGAAAAAAACCACCCTTAAATGTGCAAATCCAAACTTTAAAGTAAAAGAAATTAAATACAAGATTTTTTTTTAAAACAAAACAATAAATTCATATTTCTCTTTCAAAAACTCAAAAAGAATATCAGAAGATTAAGATTAAGATTAAGATTAAGATTAAGATTTTTCAGACGGAAATTAAAAAAAAAATTTATAAACTTTATATAAGGGTAGTTTTTTTTATTCAAGAAAAATTGGAGGGTGACGATTTAATTCTGACTCTGCTTTTTAATTGTGAGAACAAAAATACAAAAACGTATGCTTCTGTTTAAAAAATTAATTTTTTTTCATTTTTTTCTAGTAAACTCTAAGTTTTTCCTTGTAAGGGTAGTTTTTTATATATAAAAAAATTGGAGGTGATGAAGCAATTCTGATGCTTTTTAGAGTTGTTAAAAAAATAAAAATACAGAAATGTATGCTTCCGTTAAAAAAATTTAAGGGTAAAGTTATTCTTTTTTAATTTTTTTTTCAGTTTTATTTTTTTACTTTAACCCCTTGACCCTTTACAGTTAAAATTCATCTAAAATTTGTTACTCGGGGTTTCTTGGGGTCGCTAATTACGTTACGTCAAACTTTAGGTCAATGTTTACCTATATTTTACTTACAGGTTAAAAAGTATAAAAAATAATAATTAAGGACCCCCAATATGGGCCGATAGATGACGGTCCATAAGGCCCGTTATGTTTTGTTTGGCCAAATTTGACCTATTTTTTGCCCTACTTGTCAATAGGAGATGTCATAAAGACCCCTCCAAAAGGCCGTTAAATTACAAAAAAATTTAGGTCAAATTTGACCTATTATTTTGTCTACAGATCCTTATATAAAATGTAATATGAAAGTTCTCATAGAGACTCCTTTTCACCAACAGATAAAATAATAGGTCAAATTTGACCTAAATTTTGTTGCAATGTAACGGTTTTTATGAGGGGCCGTTTCATTGGGTCAAAATTTAAGTCAAATTTGACTTACTTTTTTACTTTTAGGTCAATAGCCTTTAAACTTTGAATTTGTACATTTAAGGGTAGTTTTTTCGATTAAAAAAAAAACAGTAGGTAATGGAGCAATTCTGACATTGTTTCTGATTTGTTGTAAGAGAAGTGTATAAATTTATTGTTCTGTTTTGCAACACAATCTGTTATTTAATTTTTTTCTAGCCACTTTTATTTTTTTGTGTGCCTGTGTTATGAATATTTTCCAAAATTAATTATCTTCATCGGTTAACAAAGAAAAAAGTTATATGCCTTTTTTGAAAAACCAACCAAAATTTTGAGTACCTAAGTGGTAACTAAAAAAAATTTTGAAGAAATTTTTATACAGTTTTATTCCATGTAGGAACAAATTCAGAAAGTATTATTAATATTGCTAAAATCATCTAAAATTCTTCAGATTACTTTCCATGGAATTGGTCCTTTAACAAAAAAAAAAAAATAGTAATCAACATGCGATGAAAAGATATCGACTAACATTAACTTCTTTCTGCAATTTTTTTCTATGCTTTTTTTTGTCTCTTTTGACAAAGAGAAAAACGAAAAATGCGAATAACGGAGAAAAGTGCAATTTTCCCATCTGATATTGAAAATTTGTGCACTATTGGGTTAAAGGCACGTCAGAAAGTAAGCCTTGGGAGCCGTTTCGTTGAAGGGATTGGATCAGAGATGTCTCTTTTATGTTTATGCAAATGTTTACATCCCCTTGGCAAGATAGAATCCGTGGTTACTTGCACTGAACGTATATATATCTATATAGAAAGATGTATATAGTAGGCGAACGGAAGGCAGTCAGCAACATGTTAAGAAGGTACTTCCGCGTGGGTCTCTCTACGATCTCTTCGTTGTTGTCATTTTACGTGGCCCTTTTTGGCGGAGCGTTAAGCACACGGAAGTGCTTTGCATTCTAAGTCATATCCGGGAATCTAGATGGTGCGCGAGCGTTAGGCGAAACTTTCTTTGTCATTTTTCTCTCTCTCTCTCTCTCTCTTCCTTTTTTACGATGATCCTTCTTGTACTTTTTGACGACCATTTTTTTTACCGAATCGTTTTTAAAAGTTATAAATATTTCATCACCCTTTTCCTTTATACAATCATTGGAAGAATTCATTTTACTGGCTAATATTCTTCATTTCTTTTTGCTTTTTTCATTTACATTCATATAATACGACATGATTCATTCCATCCTTGCGGAGAGATTTATATTCATTTTAATCGAAAAAGAAAGAATTGATACGCTTTTTCTCTCTAATAGAAATTATGTAAATCCCAAGTTACTTGGAGGAAAATTTAAAAAGATTTTCTTTTAATCATTTCAACGCTAACTCGCTAGGGAAAGTTTGTTATTTGCAAATTGAAACTTTCTTTTTTTTTATTAAAAAATAGGTGACTTTTTTCATGAGATTAATTGGAATTGAATATTTAGTTTTTGCTTTCGAAAAATGAAGAAATTAATTAGTTTTTGTATGAATAAAAATATGTATTATTTTGGGAAATAATAATAAAAATTTTTCTTATTGAGAATAAAATGTTTCTTTTTGAAAATAAATTAATTTTTTTGCGAACTGAAAATTTCCTTTTTTTTCACAGGTCTATCGCTGGGAGGAGGTTTGATAGTTCTAGCATCTGCCTTATCGGACGCATCATTGGAATTGCCTAGGAAATACTCATTCTCAACAGGTAGGAGTCATTCGGATGATAATGGACTACCTCAGTATCACTACGGTTGGTGCCTTCAATTGTCCGGACTTGCCTTGATCTTGTCTGAGCTCGCTGCCCTCTTAACTGTCTCCGGTTACATGGCTCGATTTCCAACAGTCGAAGACATGGTAAATATTTCCTTCTTGTAGTCAATATCAAGTCAATATTGATCCAACATTTGGTGAATAATTGTATTGTCAATAATACTAATAATAATAATAATATTGATAATAATATTAATAATTATCAAATGATAACAATTTAACATTGTTTAAACAATTAATTGTTGTTACATATTAACTTTTTGCCCTTTGCACATAAAAAGATGCAGTTTTTTTTCTAATTTTGTAATTTTCGGACCTACTTATAATAATCGATAAATGTTAAATGTCAAATCGCTATTTTAGCAATTGCTTAAGCTTAAACAAATAATTGTTATTTATTAAATAGCGATTTGACATTTTATATTTACCGGTTATTATAATTGGGTCAAAAAATTGCAAAATAAGAAAAAAAACTGCATCTTTCTAGGTGCAATAGAAAGAAAATTAATAAATAACAACAATTATTTGTTTAAACAATTTCTAAAATAGCGGTTTGATATTTAACATTCATCGGTTTTTATAAGTAGGTTCGAAAATTGCAAAATTAGAAAAAAACTACATTTTTTTAGGGGCAATAGGAAAAAAGTTAATAAATAACATTTATTTGTTTAAACAATTGTTAAAATATCAATTTGACATTTAATATTTATCGGTTATGATAAGTAAGTAGTTCCTAAAATTTCAAAATTAGAAAAAAACTGCGTCTTTCTTGATGTAATAGGTAAAAAGTTAATAAATAACAACAATTGTTTATTTAAATAATTTTATGCAATAGTTGTAAGCAGTTTAACTAGATTTTTTATTTCAATTATTAATTTAATACCATGTAGTACTAAAAAAAGTTAATAGCTTTAAAGAAATTTGTTGATTTCTAGTTTGATTTGAAAATACTAAAAATAATCTATAATAAATTGTTTAAACAAATGAAAAATTTCTTGTAACATTAATAAATTAGATTACTAGGCAGCATAAAATAATAATAGTAAAAAATTTCCATGATTTCAAGTTTTTTTTTAATATTCAAATAGAAAATCATTGGAGGGTTAAAAATACCCTCGTTACGCTCGGTGTCACAAAGTTGAACCTTTAAGCTCGCCGGGTTAATAATATTTTAAACAATTTTTAGAAACAAATTATGATTTGAAAGATACAAATATTGTCTAAAAACATTTTTTTCATAATGCTCTTATTTTTATAGTTAAAATGAATGTTAAAGTATTAGAATTGTTTAACGTTATTGTTTAACGTTATTGTTTAACAATGTTATAAACAATTTTATAAGCAAATTAAGAATTCACAACAATTCAAGGTGAAAAAAATAGTTTATTATTCCATCGACTTTTTTCCGTCGTCTTAATGAATTTTTGAGGTAAAAATTATTGATCTCATTTATTTAATAGTTTTATAAACAATTTTTATATACAATTCTGATAAACAAATTCCGAATTAACAACAAATGAAAGTGAAAAGATATAGTTTTTTCTTCCACTATCCTCTTTTGTATATGGTTAATAAATCTTGAGGCTTAAATTTATTTCTTAATATTTTTCATCAAAGTTATAAACAGATATAAACAATTCTTGTAAACAAATTATTTATTATTAAGAACTAAAAGTGAAGTAATCGATTTTTTTTTCTTTTATAATTTTTTTCTGTAGGATGAATGAACCTTTATGCATACAATTTTTCGTAAATATTTCTCAACTAAGTTAAAAAACAATTTGTTGTTAAATAATTGCAATCAATAATATTTATCTCAAAGATTCATTAAGACAACAGTAAAAAAATGTCAGTAGAAGAATAAACTATTTTTTACAGCTTCAATTTTTGTTAATTCTTAGTTTGTTTATAAAATTGTTCATAGCATTGTTAAATAATAATGTTAAACAATTTTCAATTATTCATAGCAACTCTAAAAATAAGAGCGATGTGAAAAAAAATGTTTTTCGACAATATTTGTGCCTTTAAAATCATAATTTGTTTATAATGACTGTTTAAAATATTTTTGTTCAAACAATCATAACTTTTTATCTGAAATCAAAAGTTAATTTTTCTTGTAGATTCTGAAAACTATATGCAAATTTTTTTTAATCCACCGGATCCTAAAAATTAGAGAGCAAAAATTCAATGGGAAAAAATTTAAACTTCTTCGATGAAATGGGTTAAAAATAAGTTTTCTTATATTAGTTTTTAATATAAGATTCAAAACTAGTTTCTATACTCACAAAATTAGACCAATATTGTCGGTAAATGTTGATACAATATTCATGAAAATTTTGATCCAACATTGAAATTAGAGGCAATATCAGTTACTGGAAAATTTATCCTAATCTTGCTCGAATATTGATTCCACATTTAAATTCAAAAAGCTCAGTATTAATCTCTTCACTCACAATCTCGCTAATATTATGAATAAAATTTAATCTAACATTTAACCAAATCAAACTAATATTCACCAAGAAAAAGCAATTTTGGTAGAATTAAGTAATTTTCCTATTTACTGGATGTGGGTTGAAAAAGTCGAATTTCCAATTAAGCGAATTGATGTAATTAAATTATTCAACGACGAAGGATTATGTGGACCAATGAATTACAACTGAATTGAGTATTGTACCAAGATAAATAATCCTTTTAGTTTAGATAGTTTGCCTAACATTGTTATTCTTGTTCTATAGGTAAGAGTAATGGTTCCCGGTGCAGAAAGGAAGTTGAGGGAGCAACGTGGCCTCAGTTCAGAGTACCTCGTCAGAACCCATCAGAAATCACCCGGTCCACCACAGAGTCGAGGGTTTACTCAACCTGAGAAAGGTGAGGGTAAGCACGGAAACTCCTAGATTGATGACATACCACGTAGAGTGGTTTTACTTGGAATTTAGACTATTCATCACGTCCTCCTCATGTTCAGTGTACTGAATCATGCAAATTTACCAATCAAAAATAAAATTTCAAAATCAATATCTTACGCTACATTATCTCTTGTGAAATTAATTGTGTCTTACAACTAATTAATGCAGTACACAGAAAGCACACGTTTGCCATGTAATTTCTGCATATTTTCGGCTCAAGTTTACTGAAAGCTTCTTCCATTCCCATTAATGGTTAATACTAGAAATCAAAAAACTATTCTCAAAAATTATAATCAAATTCTTTAAAACGATTCAATTATTTTTAAAAAATATTCGAAATTCAATTATTTTCAATATCTAGTATTTTCATAACATTTCATAAAGGAATTCAATTATTTTTAAAAAATTGATAAAATTCATCCAAAATTCAATTATTTTCATAAACACTAAAATTTCCACAAGAATTCAATTAATTTAGAATAGCATTTTCAAAAAAATGTTGAAAAAATCAATTATTTAACAAAATTTTTATACAATTTTTCCCAATTATTCAATTACTTCCCCTAATAATAAAATTTTTCATAAAAATTCAATATATGAAAAAAAATTTTGATAAAATTCTAAACAAGAATTGAATTATTTTCATAAATAATAAAACTTATGGAAGAATTTCAATATTATTTTTAATACTATTTTAAATTAATTAATCGAAAAATTCAATTATTTTCACAAATAAAGTTTACCACAAGAATTCAATTATTAAAAATAAACATAATATTTATTATATTTCGAAAAAATTAATTATTTAAAACAATGTTTAGAAAATTCTTATGGAAAATTCAACTATTTTCAAAAATAACAAAATTTGTTAAAATAAATTCAAATCTTTTTATACATTTTAACAAAATTTTTCGCTATAATTCAATTATTTTCATAAATAATAAAATTCTTCTCAGGAATTTAATTTTTTTTGGAAATTTTAATAAAATTCTTAGCAACTATTCTATTATTTTCATAAATAATCAAATTTATCGCATGGTTTCAATTATTTGTAATAGAATTTTACAGTAATTGTTGAAAAATTCCATTCCAAAAATAATTTTTTTTAAATTGTTTGGCAGAATACAATTTACAAAAATATTAGAATTTTTTCAAAGGAATTAAATTATTTTCAAATATTTTTATAAAATTGTTTGAAAGAAATCAATTATTATAAATAGGTACAATTTTAATTACATTCTTTTTCAATAATTTAATTATTCTTTTAGATTTTAATTAAAATTCTTCCCAAGAATTCAATTATTTACATAAATATTTTTTCGAAAGAATTCAATTATGTCAATAAATAACAAAATTATTCCCGAAAATTCAATTATTTTGAGACATTTTAATAAAATTCTTTACAAATTTCAATTATTTTTATAAATAACAATATTCATCTCAAGAATTCAATTATTATTAAAAGTAATAAATTTCTTCTTGGAAATTCAATTATTTTAAAAGATTCTAATAAAATCGTTCACAAAGATTTAATTATTGGCAAAAATATTAATTGAATTCTTTGTAAAATTTAATTATTTTTAAAAACATTTAGCAATTCAATGATGTTTAAAATCTACTATTTTCATAAAATTTCCAAACAGAATTCAATTATCTAAAAATTTTTTGCAAAATTCTTCTTAAGAATTTAATTCTTTTCATGAATAATAAAAATTTCTCAGGAATTCAATTATTTAAATTAGAATTTGCATTAAAATAATAAATAAGTCTAAAAAAATCAATTATTTAAAATTTTGTATAAAATTCTTGGCAAGAATTTAATTATTTTTAGAAATATTTAAATTCTTTCGTGAATAATAAAATTCGTTGCAGGAATTCAATTTATTAACAGGATAAGAAAGAAGTCAATATTTTTTATGTTAATTAGGAAAAAAGTCAGGAAAATAAAATATAGAATGGAATTTTTGTTAGTTTTGTGAAGTGTCTAAAACGAATTTTTTCGGTCTTCAAGTTCAATTTTTTGATAGCAACTTTTTTACTACTTTTTTCAGTTTGAAAGCTACTTTTTGCTACTTTTTTAATATTAATTATCGGGTGCGAAGTCTGAAACTTGCAACCAGGTTTCTGAAATCATTTTTAATGTTCCACAAGTAATTTATAAGACTTTAAAAGTTACTTCCACATTTAAAAAAAATTTCCAATATAAGACTTTCTTTACAATTTATGTTTTTTAAAACACTAATAATTTCGTAATTTCTAATCGAATTAGGTTCAAAAAGAAGTCAATCGAAGCGTTTTTTAATGCTTTGCAAATTATTGTTTATGCGACTTTTAAACTTACTCCTACATTTATTAACAAAATTTTTAAAAAAGTCTTATTTTCTAAAATTTTAGATTTTTAAAGTTTAATTTTTTTTTAATTTCTGAGGTCAAATAAAATAAAGACATGTCAAAAAATCGAATTTGAAAAATTTTGGTATTACAATATTTCCTCATGAGGAAGCAAAAAGAAAGATCATTTAACGAGGTGCATGAGAAGACTTCAATTTTTATTTTCCGAATCTTTATTTTACCGAAATTCTTTGTAATGAATGATCAATTGACAAAATGTTTATCACTGCGAAAAAATATTTTTTATAATCTTCAAATCACCGAATAATCATTTCTAAAAATTCTTATTTTTTATATTTATTATTTACATTAATATTTTTATTTTCCAATTCTCAACATTGATAAAAATTATTTTATAGATTTGTTAACAATTATAATAATTATCTTCTTGAATTATTAATTATTATTTTAAATTTTAGAAAAATCTTCTTGTCTTTTTTCTTAAATTTTTAACGACTACCAAAATTTTTTAAAAGTTGACTCACTGATTTTGAGAAACATTGAATCTAAATTTAATATCAGATTTTAAAATTCAAAATGGAGGCTCTAACATAGTGATCAAACAATTTTAAAAATTTTCCTAGATTCTAAAATTTTAAATTAGCAACACAAAAAATTTAAGAATTTCTGGTGAATTCCACGTCAACTCAACACATATATTTTTATGACCCTCCAAATGTTTCTTGGAAAAAATAAAAAAATGTCGGAAATACAAGATTTTGAATTTTTTGGTTCTATTTTTAAAAAATCTGTAACTTCTGTTCTAATCCAATTAAAATTTTCAATATCGGAAATTGTGTAGAAAATGTTATATTTTATAATAAATTTTATTAGAATTAAGAAAAAAAATTTTTGCATTATTTTTTACGTATTTGAAAAATAAAAATCGCAATTACGAAAATATTGTGTTTTCAAATTTTTTTATTTTTATAACAAAAAAAAACCCAGAATTAGATTTTTGGAACAGAGGTTACAGAATTTTTAAAAAAATAGTACCAAAAAATTCAGAGACTTGTATCTCCGACATTTTTTATTTTTTTGTTCAAAAAACAATTGGAGATGTTTTTTTCATCACCTAAGGATTGTGTAAACAGAGCATTAATTAAATTCTATTAGGTCATGAAAATATTAGTAATGAGTTGACGTGAAATTCACTATCTACTGATAATTTCAAATTAGATTTGGCACGATTTTTTTTTTTTGTTAAATATAAGAAATTATAAATCGTAATTACTACAATTTACAAATCGTGTTTATTATAATTTTTAAATCATAATTTCTATAATTTATAATTAATTTATTATTAATTGTATACTTCTCAGCAATAACTTTATTACGAATATTTATTAATTATACAAATTTTTCCCTTGCAATAAATTAATTAAAAATATATTCCTCAATTTAATAGCATCTATAAATAACAATAATACTGCTGCCTGTAATATCGAAGCGTAAATTGCTTCACCAATCTGCATACTAAAATAGATTATTAAATTATTAACTCCTAACTGTGAATAATAAACCAAATGATATACTTTTTAACAGTAGCTTCTCCTTAATAAACAGTGTTAATTTCAAATTCTATAAAAAACAAAGATAATAGAAATGAAAAAAAAGTAGATATGATGAGACGATTAAAATATTTTTTTGTATTTTTGAACAGTTACACAAAAAGTGGCGGAGGAAGGAACTTCTTTATTGTGTAAATCAGCGCCCGATATATGTTCCTCGAATCCACAGTCGATAAGTTATGTGGATAAAGCAGAAATACCGCACATGTTGCCTACTTATCCGGAGGGTAAAATTCCCGATCCACGTTTCACTTTTGTTGATAAGGCAGATCAGAGTGTTGTTGATTCACGATTAAGTGGATTTGCTGATAAGGAGGGTCTCATGGATTCACGCATTCTTTCCGAATCGAGACAGAATATTATAACATTCAGTGAGAGTAAGGAGCATCCCAGTGGACAGGAGCCGAGATATGGAGAATTTGCCTGTAGAGTTGAACAGGCGACGACAATAGATCCTAGAGTAACATTTAGCGATAAGGACAGTTATCAAATTTATACCGACAATGCAGAATCCCTACTCGACACATCGTTTGGTTATGACACCAGGTATGGCAGAATTCTCTTACCATAAAATGATAAGAAGAAAAATTGCATAATTTATTTTTACTCTTTTCTTTATAATTCTATAAAAAATTATTATTTTACAAAAAAATAATTCTGTAAAGAAAAATGTCCCAAAAGAATAATTCGAAATATTTTTTACCATTTTTCTTCCACTAAGAATACTTTTATTTTTTAATCTAAAGTTTATTAATAGGTTCTTTCAAAAAACTTTCACAGTTTTCCTAATGATATCAAATTCAAACGAAAAATATAATATAATTATTATAATTCTTTGCAAGAATTCAATTATTTTTAATTTTTATAAATAATAACATTCTTCTGAAGAATTCAATTATTTTTGTGAAAAGTAAAATTTTTCGACAAAATTCAATTATTTTCATCATAATAAAATTTTACTAAAGAATTCAATTATTTTAAAAAATTTTAATAAATCCTTAGAAACAATTCAATTATTCTTTTAAAAAGTAAAATCTTTGCAAAAATTCAATTATTTTCAATAAAATTTCACGAAAGAATTAAATTTTTTTTAATTCGTTACAAAATTTTTCACAAGAATTCAATTATTTTTAAATAGTTTAAGAAAATTCATCATGGAAATTCAATAACTTTTAATACAATTTTAATAATTTTTTTCGAAAAAATTCAATTTTTTTTTTAAATTTTAATAAATTTTTCGAAACAATTCAATTTTTGGAAAATTTTTAATAAAATCTTTGCAAAAATTCAAAACGAATTTGACGAATTTTTTAACAAAAAACGAATCAAAACGTTGATTTGCAACACTTTTGATTCGTTTTTTGTCTCAATTTGATATCCTTAGAAAAACTTTGTTTTTTGTTTTTAGTTACATACTAATTTAATATTAGAAAAATCCTAACAAATTATATTAATTATTAGACTAATTATGTTAATTATATTTAAAAATATTATTGTATAATTACAATTACATCATACTTAAATATTTATAATTAGAATTCCATTAATTATACTGATAATTATTAGAATAATCTATATTAATAATAATCGTTGTATTCTGGAAAACCTGTTTGCAGTTTAAAGTTAGTTGTTGTTTGATTTTTTGTTTCCCAACATTTTTCATAATTTTTATTTTCAAATATTTTCAACAATTGAATTCAACAATTGAATTCAATAATTGAATTCTTGTGAAGAATTTTATTACAATTTTTGAAAATTCTAATTAAATTCTTCTGAAGAATTTTATCTTTAATAATATTAATTGAAAATTTTTAAAGAAATTGAATTTTATGGAAAATTTATTTCAAGCTTTTAAAATAATCGTTTGTCTCAATAATTTAAACTAAACATTTAATTATATTGAATTTCATTAAAATTTTTAGAAAATAATTAAATTCTACTCCGAATTTTATTACAATTTTCTAAAATAATTAAATTCTTCTCAGAATTTTATTACAATTTCCTAAAATAATTAAATTCTTCTCAGAATTCTAATACAATTTTCTAAAATAATTTAATTCATTAAAGAAATTTTATTAACATATAGACAATAATTGAATATTTGCAAAGATTTTATTAAAAATTTTCAAAAAATTGAATTGTTTCGAATGATTTATTAAAATTTTAAAAAAAGATTAAATTTTTTCGAAAAATATTATTAAAATATTCTATTAAAAATTATTTAATTCCCATGATGAATTTCGTTATTTATAAAAAATAGTTCAATTCTTGCGAAGAATTTTCTTAAATTATTTAAAAATAATTGAATGCTTTTGAAAAATTTTATAACGAATTAAAAAAAATTTAATTTTTTCGTGAAATTTTATTGAAAATAATTGAATTTTTTGCAAAGATTTTACTATTTAAAAACATAATTGAATTGTTTCGAAGGATTTATTAAAATTTTAAAAAATAATTAATTTGTTATGAAGAATTTTATTATGTTGAAAATAATTGAATTTTGGCAAAAATATTTACTTTTCACAAAAATAATTAAACTCTGCAGAAGAATCTTATTATTCATAAAAATTAAAAATAATTGAATTCTTTCGAAGAACATTATTAAAAAATTTGAGAATAAGTGAATTCTTGCGAAGAATTTTATTACAATTTTCTAAAATAATTTAATTCATTAAAGAAATTGTATTAACATATATAGAGAATAATTTAATTTTTGCAAAGATTTTATTAAAAATTTTCAAAAAATTGAATTGTTTCGAATAATTTATTAAAATTTTAGAAAAAGATTGAATTTTTTCGAAAAATATTATTGAAATTCTATTAAAAATTATTGAATTCCCATGATGAATTTCGTTATTTATAAAAAAATGATTGACTTCTTGCACAGAATTTTCTTAAATTATTTAAAAATAATTGAATTTTTTTTAAAAAATGTTATATAACGAATTAAAAAAAATTGAATTCTTTCGTGAAATTTTTTTGAATTTTTGCTAAGATTTTTACTATTGAAAAACATAATTAAATTGTTTCGAAGGATTTATTAAAAATTTTTTAAAAATAATTGAATTCTTTAGTAAAATTTTGTTAAAATTTTGTTGAAAATAATTGAATTTTGGCAAAAAAATTTACTTTTTACAAAAATAACTGAATTCTTTAGAAGAATGTTATTATATTTATAAAAATAATTGAATTCTTGCGAAGAATTATATTAATAATTTGAAAAATATAAATAATAATAAAAATTAAATACATGTACTTAAATAGTGGAATTAAAAATTTTTATTATGAATTTTTAAAAAAATTTATAATTGAAATTAAAAAATTTTATAATTTGCATAATAATAATAAATGGAATATCACTTTTCGCGCGCGTAACATTTGCTAGTACTAGTAATAATTATACTAATAAATTTTTTACAAAATACTAGTAAAGTTGCAAAAAAGTATTACTAGAATTCCAGTAAAATACTAGTTAAGTATATTAGTGATATATTAGTAAAATAATAATAATAACAAAATAATAGTCAAATCCTAGTAAAATATTAATAATAATTGTAAAGAACTACTAAAATTCTAGTAAATTTCTAATGAAATACTAGGAAAATACTAATTATCCTATTTAACTTAATTAATAAAATTAATTAATGAAAATTATCTGTTAATCGATATAAACTATGTAGAGGAAAATTAATTATCCCTCTTTAAAATTCGGATGTATATTTGTAATAAAAAAAAATTTTGAAATTATTTCAATAAAAATTTGTTCTGCAATTTAATACATCTGAATGATCGTGATGAATATTTAAAAGAAAAAATTGTTCTGATTCGTTTAAGAGTTTGCATTTATATAATCTTGTAGATTAGCACCTGATTGAAGATACGAATCTCTTTATCCTCAAGCCGGTCTCTCTTCAATATAATTATTATACGCTGTGTGTACAACTTCAAGAAAAGTTAAATTATCAATATTATAAATTGCCCGACGGTTTCAAACATATATATATATATATGTATATATACAGATGCGGGTCCAATTGACCCGTAATTATTACATTATTGTGTCAAATCTTGATTGTTAATTTAATGATCAGATAAAGCAATAGCAATTATTTATTTAAAAAAAACACAAAGTCTTCTGTCTTATAGTTTTGCAATAAATCTTTCCCCTCCTGCTTTTCATTTTAGTCACTTTTATGTCTCTTTTATTTATATGAGGGTATACACATCTTTTATATTTATACTATATGTATATCTGATCATCATACTAACTGCTTCTTTATGCTGTATACAAAAAATTTCCCCAGGCATAATAAAATTCTCCAACCCTTACCAATATTTTTACGTCATAGAAAATAGTACCGCTATTTTTACTGAAAAGGTTTAAAAACTTTTGTTGAAATAAATTTAAATAAATAAAAATTAGTAAGTTACTTTTTTCGTAAATTAATTAATTAATTTTATAATAATAATTAACTATATTAATCTTCTTATTCTTTCATTCATTCTGTACGCAGTTTTTTTCTTTCAAAAATATTGTTTCACAAATCGAAAATATGCAGGTATTTTTTCATGATTTATAATAAAATAATATTTCAAATCAGAAAATTTTTAAAAAATTATGATTAACAAATAAAAATATACCCATTTTGTTTGTTATGTCCTTTTTCTATAACAAATTTCGTTTGATTGATCTTAATTATTATGCAAATTATTGTCCTTTTTATTTATAAAAAATAGTAGAAAATTGTTAATTGTTAAAAAAATTTTATTAAAAAATAGGAAATATACCCATTTAATGCATAATTTTTATTTCTCAATAACAATATTGTTTACAAACTCATTTTTTTCTTTTGTTAAGAAAAACATTAGATATTTCCGTTTCTTAATTTTTTTGTAGAAAATTCTCAATTTTCATAAGGAAATAATTTGAATCAATTCTATTTCTTAATTTCAATTGTTTTAATAAAATTCAAAGTTTTTTAAAAATAAACGAAAAAAATATTTATAAATTAAATTTCTAATTAGATTGAATTTTATATTTATATTTGTCATTTTTTCAATTAAATAGAAAATTAATCCAAAAAATTTTTTAATTTTTAGAAAATAAAGGAAAAAATTTTATTAAAAAAAAATTTTCTGTTAAATTTATTTACAAATATATTTCAATTGTAAAATTATTCGAAAACAATAATTCTTTTTTTTAAATATTTTAAATATTTAATTATTATTATTTTTCCATAAGAATTAAGATTTTCAAAAATTTCAAATTTAAACTTTTTGAAAATAATTAACTTTAAAAATATTGTTATAAAACATAAAGATAACGATTTCTTAATTTCAATTGTTTTAATAAAATTCACAGTTTTTTAAAAATAAAGGAAAAAATGTTTTGTAAATTATATTTCTAATTAGATTGAATTTTATATTTATATTTGTCAATTTATATTTGTCATTTTTTCAATTAAATTGAAAATGAATCCGAAAATTTTTGAATTTTTAGAAAATAAAGAAAAAAATTTTCTGTTAAATTTATTTACAAATAATTAACTTTGAAAATATTGTTATAAAACATAAAGATAGAGTCTTCGACTCAGAGTGATCGATTTATTTATGTTTTATAATAATTAAAGAGAACCGAGTGTCAAAATCATTATTTTATATTAGAAGAATATTGTTAGTGTTACTGTTACTTCTTAAAAATTATTTTCATATTCTATTATTATCTAAAATTTAAACTTAAATTCATTTTCAAATCAATTTTTATTAGAAAATTCTACGAGAATTTTAATTATCTAAATACAAAAGTAAATTTTATTTATTGAATAATTGAATGTTTCTTAAAATTTAATTCTTATGAAGAATTGTATTAACAAATTCTTAAATAATTGAATTCTTTTGACGAATTTTAATAAATTTTTTTAGAATATAGTTACATTCTTCAAGGAATTCAATTAAAATTGTATTAAATATAATTGAAATTCTGCGATGAGTCTTATGATTTATGAAAATAATTGAATTATTGAGAAGAAACTTATAAAAATTTTGTAAATATTTGAATTCCTGTGAAATTTTTATTATTTATGAAAATAATTAAATGTTTGCGTACAATTTTATTAAAATTTTTTTTAAATAATTGAATTCTTTTTGGAAAATTTTATTGAAATAGTAGATATTGAAAATCATTGAAATGAGTAAAATTTTTGTAAATAATTGAAATGACAAAAATTTTATTAAAATTTATGAAAATAATTGAATTTTTGAAGAATTTTTTTATTTATAAAAATAATAATTGGGATTTTGTCGAGATTTTTTTGTAAATTTTGAACATTTATTAAATTTTGAGATAAGAATTTTATTACTTTTGAAAATAATTGAATTTCTGCGATCATTTGTAACATCTTCAAAATTCAATTTTTTTTTAGTGTTTCCAACTAAAATTCTTCTGTAATTCCATTATTTTTAATAATTAATTAAATATATATTAACAAATTAAACTAATTTTAGAAAATTTTGAATTATTAAAATTTTTCAAAAATCTAAGTTCATTAAAATTTCTAATTAAATTCATTCAATGTTTACATTTTATAAAATTTATAATTGAAACCGATTGAAGTTCATTTATTTATGAAAATTGTAAACGCAACTCTTTAAAAATTCAATTAATTTTAAAATGTTTAAGTAAAATTATTCATTAAATAATTTATTTATTTTATGATATATAGTTGTTCATGATTTAAGTTATTTAAAAAGAAATTTTTGCCAGAAATTGTAAAAATTGAATGTTTTGTATTAGAATTCATGGTAATTTTATAGTTTATGAGTAAAACAAAAAAAGACACAAAAATTCAGAATTTTCTTTTATGAATTCTAAAAATTTAATTTTTTTCAGTACTTTTAATAAAAACTCCTGACTTTTCCCTCAATTCTCCTATGTCAGAATATATGATTATTATATAGTGATAATAATAATAATTATAAAAATTTGACTTACAGATACAACAGCCTCGCTGGCCAAACAGTGCCCATAACATTGAAGCATCCAGCGCCCTCAGTTTCTGCAATACAACCACAATACATCTATCAAAATTTTGGTACAATTCATTCAGGAATGTTGAGAGTATCAGAACCGGGAACAAGTTCCAGTTCAAATTCAAGTTTACGTAGTATGACACTGCAAAATCCAAAAAGAAAATCGCAAATTGCACAAAATACATTTAGCACAATGGAATGTGAAAAGAGAAAAAGAGGTCCGGGAATTGGTTTTTATAGTGGAAGTGCTGTATGACCACCACCTCCTCCTCCAACTCCAAGGTAACTCCAGGAAGATGAGTCTTCACTCTAGTTGACATTAATATAAATGAAAGAAAAAACTAGATTTTTGGAAGTTGAGGAGGACATTTTTTCATTTACAGTTCAATGTAACTTGTCAAATTTCAAAAAAGTGATTCAAGAGCATGATCAAAATGAAAAAAAAATTTTGATAAAAATGACTATTTGTGAAGAGACGATTTTTTTTTAAATATTTACATTTGTTCTGTAATATATAAAAAGAAGAAATAAATCGTGAAAATTCGTGATTAAGAAAAAGTGGTTGTATATGTAAATATTAACTCACAGGAAATGACAGATTATATATAAATATATATATATATAGAAAAAAATCAAAATGAAAATAATTGTCTCTCTCGTCCGAGAAAGCTTTGCCTGTTTTAATACTCAATTGTTGTTTATAAAAATAAGGTACAATCGAAAAAATGAATCAGTGAAAATTTTCACACTAATTTCCAAATCAGTGGCTCAACTTTTTACGATTTAGAATTAAATTACAATACTCAGTTACATTAAATTTGAATTTTTGAATATTTTAATAATTTCAATCCAGAGATTTAATTTTCTTTTTTATCTTTTTTTTCATAAATAAATTTTTACTAGTTCATCAAGAAAATTCTATTAAAAAATCAATAAAAAATGTATTAAAAATAAAAAATTAAATGAAAATTATTTTAAATGTACATACTAAATAAATCTAAATTTTAAACGATTTTAAAGATTACTATTTAAAACAAATGTAAAAAAAATTATTCAAAGAATAATATTCTTTGAAATAAAAATTAATCAAAACTTTTTTAGGAATCAAAGTTGCAATAAAATCAATAATTTAGTAAAAATTATTTTTCAAAATAAATAAAATATATTCTTTTATATTGTTTCAAATAAAAACGAATTAAAAAATTTGTAAAAAATGGAAATCAAAAAGTTTCCAAAAATTTCAAAAATTCATCATTGAAATTCCATTTATTATCAGTAAAAAATATTTATTAGAAAGATTACTTAACTTTTATTTATCTTTACTATTCTTTTTTCTGTTTAGAAAATATTGTTCTTCTAAACAATTACAAGAAATTCTTTGATGTTCTTTGAAATAAAAACTAATCAAAAAATATACGAAAATCAAAGAAATTCGACTTGTAACAGTAAAATTTTCCATTAAAAAGTTTTCTTTTAAATAAAAACCAACCAAACAATTTGATTCAAATCAAAATAAGAAAATCAAAAATTTTCCCAAATTCATCAGTGAAATTCCACGGATTATCAGTAAAACATTTTTTCTTAAAAAGTTTATAAAATTGCTATTTTTATTTTATTTTTTTATTCTTGCGTTTTTTGTCTGCTAAAAATTATTATTTAAAATAATTAATAGAAATTACGTACTGATTGAGAATTACTGCGTTTTCACTGATTTGTATTGTAAGAGTGCCAAAGTTTGAATGTGATTTGAATTGTTGAATGAATTTGTATAAAAAAAAATTGCCATGTAAAACAATCAGAATCACTTTGAAGCGGCAGAATAACATTCAATCACCGTCATTGAATTTTTATAAATAATTTTAAAAGACTGAAAAAATGTGTATAAATGTTGAAAAAAACAATTTTCTTCTAGCTTAATAAACATTTTTAATTCAACAACTTTCCAGTCCTAACAATTTATTTTAAAGTTAAAAAAAAAACTTTTTCCAAAAAGAAATATTTTTTATATATATTTTGTTTCAAAAAAGAAACATTCTTTATAAATATTTTTATTTAAAAAAGAGATATTTTTAACTTATACTTTTTTCAAATAAAAATAGTTCTTACCTACTTTTTCTAAATAGGTAATAATATTTAGCAATATTTTTCACATACATTTTTTTCTCAGTAGAAATATTTTTTAAATATATTTTTTCAAAAAAAGAAAATATTTTGCAAATTTTTTTGTTCAAAACTTAAGAAAAAATATTCTTTTGTTTATCTTCTCTCTTAAAGAAAAAATAAATGTTATTAATCTGCCCCTTTAAAGTAGGAGATTCACTGTTAAAAAAATAACCTAAAACTAAAAATAAATTTATCACTTGTATAGTTAATCAAAGGAAGTTTAAATAACATTAAATGATAGATGTAGTTTTTTGTCATGAATCAAAAAAAAAAAAAAAGGAAAGAAAAAAAATATAATTTAGCGAGTCGTCAATAATAACAATAAAATTAATTGAGATGCTGTTTCTCTCTCTATCTAACTCTAACTCTATCTCTCTCACTCTCTTTCTCTTTCTGTCTATATGTGTCGAGAAAAAGAATTATACGACTCTTGTACAAAGTTCTTCGATCTGTATCTTTAATACTTCGCCAATCCTGGACATATCAAATTGAATAAAAAAGAAAGAAACATGAAAGTCTATAATAGCGTTTACAGAAGTTACTCTATTAATGACCAAACCCTTTTTCCGCAAAATATTTCTATTTTGTTCATTTACTATAGAATTTTTAATAAACTGTACTTTGAATTGTCAGTTAGGAATATTTTTTTAACAATTTCATAATTTTCATGGTTGAACTTAATTTTAGGACACTAATATTTCAATTGTTTTTAAAAAAAATTTCTAAGTAGAAAACTTGGTTTTAGTCAGACAAGATTGATTATTAAAATTTTAATTAATTTCATTTAATGTTTTTTAAAAATACTGCATTAAATTGTCACAGTAAAATAATTTTTATACAATTTCACAATTTATGAAATTGAAATTAAATTGAAATGAAATTGAAACAAAATTTTGGGACATCTAAAAATTTAAAAAATGTTTTAAGTAGAAAAAACTGTTTTAGTCAGACAATAATGATTATTAAAAATTTATTTAATTCTATTGAAATTAAACGATTGATTACAATCTGACTTTACACAATAGACAGTTAATTATTTTCTGAGACATTTAAATTAAACAGTTGTTGTTTTAGTTCTGCATGCGTTTAAGTAGATAAATCTGTTACAGTCAGACAATATTTATTCACCATAATATAGCTACCAGTTTAATTGAAAACTTTGCGATAAACATGCTTTCGGAAAACTTTCGTACTTTATATAACTAAAGGAAAAATTAATAACTGACTTTTAAGTAGAAAAAGTTTACAGTCAGACAAATGTACATATTTTTACTATATTCGTATTATAAAGAAAAAAATGTCGTTTTAAACTTAAAAATAATTTTTAGTATTAATTTGGGTGTAAATAAACATGCACTACTTTGGATTTAATTTAAAACATTATTAAGTAGAAAAAACTATTTTAGTCAGACAAACATATTTACTTTTTACTATTTTTATTGAAGAAAAAAGTTTATCTTCACAACTTTTACTTTTTTTTCGCTATTAATTTGCGAGTAATTTAACACTCATTACTTTACAATTAATCTCAAATATTTTCAAGTAGAAAATACTTTCACAGTCAGACAAATGTACGTATTTTATTAACTGATTGAAAGAAATGAATTTTGTACTAAACTTTAATTTTAATACATTTTTTTGTATTAATCCTGCGGCTAATTAAACATTCACTATTTTTTAACTAATCCTAAAGAGTTTTTTTAAGTAGAAAAACATAATTAGAGAATATTTTTCGTTATTAATGTTTTGTACTATTAATTTTAGTACCAAAATGTCCGAAAATATGAAATAAAATAAATAAGTGAAATAAATAAAATATATTTTTACAATATAGGTACAAAAAATTGATCTAAGCAGTAAAAACCGATACAGTCAGACAAATCAGACTGATTACTATTTTAGTAACTAATTCAAGTTAAGTGTTACTTTCGGTAACTTCTATAAATATTTCATTTTCTATTTTCTACTATTCGATGTTGGAACATTTTCACTTTTTCCACTTTAGCAACTTTAGTAACTTTAGTAACTTTAGTAACTTTTTTAAGCTGTAGAATAAAATTGTACTAGTCAGACTAGATTCGTCATTCATATTTCTATCAGTTTTAACCTAAATTATAACTACTTTAATGTATTTATTTATTCTCTAATTATACAGTTCCTATAATATCAACAAATATGTGTTTAAGTAGAAAAAACTTTCACAGTCAGACAAAACATATTTTTGAAATTTCTACTATTTTCTATAAAAATTTATTAAATTTGATATAATGAGTATTTTATTTAAAACAATTATATATTGATTTACTATTTCCTTAAAATTCATGACTCTTTTAGTAGTAAGGACGGTCACAGACAGATGTTATTTTCTCAGAAAATATGTATAAAAAGTTTATTTTAATAGAAAATCTATTTCGAAAATGTTTTCTATTTTAAATTATTTTAAACTAAAATGTTGTTTTTATTGATTTTATTTAATTTTTTTAGGTAGAAAAAACTGCAATAATTTGGCAAAATAAAAGAAAATTTCTGTATTAATTCTATTAAATTTATTCGTAAAATCTTTATTTTAAACACTAAAGAAAATTTATTTTATTGAAATAACCGATTAATTTACTATTACCTATCAATTAAATATTTACTTGAATCAAGTAATATTTTTTAGTGTCAATTAAATCGTATTTGAACCAATAATTTCAGTATTTGAAGCAAATATGAACTATAAACCATTTAATTGACTCCAATAAATATTATTTGATATAATTAAATATTTAATTGATAATAATCAAGTAATCGGTTATTTAAATCAAATAAATTTTTTTTTCAGTGAATAATCAGGAAAAAATTATTACTATATATATTAAATTATTTTTAAGTAGAAAATTCTGTCATAATCAGGCAAAGTTTCGTAAAAAATTTATTTTCCAATTTCACTGAATTTTATTTAGTATACTTTATTTAATTTAAAATAATGTGAAACGAAATTTTATTCTTTGAATTATAACAGCTTTTGAAGTAGAAAAAGTCTGTCATGTTCAGGCAGAATTTTCTACTAAAAATTGATGAAAAATTTTATAAATTTTTAGTTAGAAATTTGTTCAATTATAATAATCTTCATATTTCATTCTATCATTCTGTCTGTCCACACTTTAAAGTTATTTTTTTGTATGCTTTTGTTTTTTTATTTTTTTTTTTTCTTTAAAAAATATTGTTTGACAGATTGAAAAAATGCAGGTATTTTTTTATGATTTATAATAAAACAATATTTGAAATTAGAAAATATAAAAAAATGATGATTAACAAATAAATATTGTTTTTTATATGCTTTTTTCTATAACAAATTTCGTTTGACTGATCTAAATTATGCAAATTTTTATTCGTTTTATTTTTAAAAAATATGAGAAAATTGTTAATTGTTAAAAAATTATAATTAAGAAATAGGAAATATACCTATTTTATGCATAATTTATATTTCTCAATAAAAATATTGTTCAGAAACTGATTCTTTTCTTTTGAAAAAGAAACATTACATATATTCTATTCTATTTGTCAATAACAAATTTCAATTGAAAATGAAAATTCCAAAACAAACGATCACATTCTTGACAAATTTTTAGTAAAGACAAAGGAAAATGTATTTTTTGAGTTTTCGTTGTAAAATGCAAAATATTTCTAAACAT